ATATAAAACAAGGTACAAAATCCTTTTGAAAAGGGGCTTAAAAGATATCTAAAGCTTCATTATTTTCCCCAGATAATTATTTCTTTGATCTTGATTCTTTTCCTTCATAATTATTTAATGTGTTTTTAGTAGACAGACATTAATCTTTTTTTTCTAGAAAGGTGAAAGCTGATGTTGCATATGGTTTTACTCTAAACTGTCAAAAAGGACTGGAATTTATGAAGTAAAACTGTCTCAGAATGACACACACATATATAAGGACATATATGAAGCATTGTCAAAAATGAATTACAATGTTAATAGTAGTTATCACTGAGTACACAACTTATTTGCTCTTCATAGCTCCCTGAATTTTCCAACTTCTTCATCGGTCCATTCCACGTTCTAAATAGTTTAAAACCTGGAAGAAAAAAAATGACACATTTCCAAGCCAGAAGTCCCTGGTAATTGAAATAAATCCCAAGTATCTGCAATCAGAAACTGGAACCAGAAAGCTCTGGTGGCTGAGAGCGAGGGCGTTGAAGTGACTGTCTAGAGTCCAGTGCAGCGTTTCCCACTGGTTTTCAGCAGCAGAAAGGAGGAAGAAAAAGGGACAACAGTAACCCAAATTAGGCTGAGCTGTCGTCACTAGATAGGAGAAAATCCTCTTTGCATCTTTAAAAGTATAGCTTCGCATCTCTGTGAAGCCACTTCAAAGATTTCATGAGTCACAGCTCTGATGCTGTTGAAAGATTTGGCTCCTTTCCAACAACATTTCCAAGCTTTATAAGACTTTGTCAAGGAAGGGCCCTGAGATAAGAGTATTTTTATTTCGATGACGGCATGCTTAACTACCGAGCTCTCCAGAATGTATGTGCTGGTAATCATGATGCTGGCCTTACCCATAATGTATAAACTCATAAGAACTGCCTATTGTCTTCTATTGTAGCTGTTAAGGGAGGTACAAGAGAGCATGGCATACGATCGAAACATGGAGTAGATAAGCAAGATTAATGAATGAATAACTTGACCTTTTTTCCATGGTTGGTTTTGTCAAGGAGAGTAAAAGTGCTCTCGGATTTGAGCAGAGAAATGAGTCTCACTCCACACCCGATCTGATCCCGCCACACCGAGGCAAAACACTGAGGGGTGCAACAGAACAGCAAGGGAATGGAGCAGCGAGGTTCCCAGAGAATGCTGAAGGTGGACTTTGGGGCCAGGGCATGGTGCCCCAACAGACTG